TTAAGAATTTCGAGTTGAGGAGATGCCTGACTAGATTTAGAATATCTTCACATCATTTACAAATTGAAGTTGGAAGGTTCCAGGATATCCCAGCACACATGCGATTATGTTCGAAATGTGATTTGAATGAGGTGGAGGATGAAATACATTTTCTCTTCAAATGCACTAAATTCAAAGATGAACGAGAAATTTTCTTAAAATCTGTCTCAGAATTATGTACCAATTTCCCTAATCTTGATTTTAATGAGAAGCTTATATGGCTATTTTCAAATGAAAATGAGTCAATCTTAAGAATACTAAGTCAATTCATATCAAAACACTGTATATGATTTTTAAACAATATTACTGTATATTGCTACATTTTGTTAATTATAATTGTGCTCATTTTGCTTATCTACATTAGACATGAGGAGGAATGCAACCTTTTATTCATGTTTTTTTTTTTTTAATTGATTAGAATTCATGCATTTCCTAGAGCACCGTCCCTTGATGTCTTCTGTAGACTGGCAACCATTAATGCACCTTTATCTTGTAATCTATTTACATTTATACACCCACCATGGTAAAATTTGTTTAAATTTTTCGATTATGTACATTTTCTCTATTTTATGTGATACATACATTATTGAATTACTGTTCTACATAAGTTATGAGGAGGAATGCTGTCCAGACAGTTACACGTCTGAGACATGTATTTCCTAGAGCACTGTCCCTTGAAATCTTTTGTAGTTTAGGGACTTAATTGTAATGCCATATATGGCTTCCTGGTGTAAGGGAGATAATTGAAATTATTCATCAACTCTGTTTTGCTTAGACTCAACATCTAGTATTTTTATGTTCTGTATTGCTGTATGTTCATGTATTTTTTGTCCTCTTGAGTGTTACAAATTATGCTTGTATCTATGTTATGCCCCCAGTGGGACCATGATTGGCAAATAAATTCTATTCTATTCTATTCTATAGTGCATATTACAATGCAAAAATAGGGAAAAGCTGACTCTACCCCAGATTTAAAAAGAGGGGATGTGACATGATGTGACGTCATAGAAAACAGTAGCGACCACGTCATAGAAAATAGTAGCAACGGCGCCATTGTTTGATTTTGTTGTAGAGTACTGTTCATCATCTGATTGTTTCGGATTGGCAGCTTTAGTGAGTAACCTTTATAATCTCTTTAAAATGTATCATTTTAAGACATATTTTTGGTAAACTGATTTTGACTGATATTCAATGGAGTAGTTCAAATCGGATTATCGAGATATTTTGCCATTTTTTCAAGTATCGTGGATAATCTAGGCCTATAACATACGCTGGTAAGTCAACGTGGGCGAGTTAGGTATAGTACTACAGCTGACTACGCTGACTAAATAAAAATTAATTTGAGCTAAATTTGTTTGTAATGATTGGCGATGCAATATTAAATTTACTCGATACAATCTTGTCAAACCCATAATTTAGATAATGGAATCGTCCTATTAGATTAGAATTGTGGGAAATAAGATGACGTAATAATCATAGAGTAGCAACCGCGCCATCTTTTGACAACGTTTTGTTGCCTGCTAGCGATAGATTTGGTTATTTATATATTTTGGTGAGTTTATCTACATTCATTTGGGAGTTAAACGTAAATATTTTAACAGTGATTTTGCATCTGAGAATCGTAATGATTATGATCGAGTATGTTCAGTAACGTTGACCACACCTACATGTGTTAAATTATAAAGTTCAAGGGTGGTGGATGTACCCTCTTCTAGATATCATGTAATATTCAATACATGTTGGTACAAAACATATGTAAGGTAATTAAAATGTTTCTTAATCCACTGCGTTACTTTATCCATCACATTTTGTCAAAACCGCCTTTAGAGAGAAATAGATCTATATAGACAACAAGGGAAAGTTCATATTCAATACAACTTTTAACCAATCTGAGTAATTTAATCATCAAATAATATAATAATAAGGCTGACAGAAGGTTAAGTTTTTTTTATTTGAGTTGGCCATTATAGATATGGAGAGTACAGCATGATGTGCTTCAAATTTTTTAGTATTTTACTTCAAAGATGCAGTAACAAATAAAAAATATTATATCTAGACATACCTATTTAATTTCAGCTTTGCAAAAATGATGAGAAATCGAAGTCAGGGAAATGTCATTTCCCAAAAGGATGCTCCCATTGCAGGTAAGCAAATAAAGTTTGTTTCCTATCTTCAGTTCCATTTAATAAAATATTGAAGTATTTGTATCACTGCTGGGAAGATATGCTCTAAGATCACAAAGTATTTTACATTATTAAGCTTACAGAAAATATGACTTAATTTTTGGAATTAAGTTTTAACATGAATTGCATGATACAAAACCGTTAGTTCAAATAATTACTGCAATGCAGGGAGAACTTAATTTATTTTATCAATGACACACCTTAAATCTCAATAAGATGAATGTTTTAGTTTCAGATGTATTGAATGAAAGGTATTAAAATTATACCTATTTGTTTGCTTTTTTTAAAAAAATATTTTTTAATGTTGTTAACATTTCTAGTACATTATGTACATCTTTTACTATCCTAAACCCTCTCCTTTCTAATTCAAATACTGAATTAATATTTTTTCTACTTCTCTATAGTTTTATGCATTTCACATTAAATTTGTGTGATATTTTCCCCTATTTTTTCAAAACCTTTTCTAAACCTTTTCTCACAGTGATACTCACAGCATTCTCTGATTTTCTTAATGACTACCCTATACTGTATAAATGCATGTTGTATAGAAAAGTTAGCTAACACGTATAGAATCAAAAGTGTGCAGTAACTTCTGTCAACTTCTACTGAAAATTAAATTTTAATTATTTGCTGACCTCAACTATGCATCAATTGATATATTTTGTTTTCAAACATTTGATAATACATGTAATGAGCTATTTCATTTAATGATTTCTTTTTGTTTTCGCTTATGAAGTTAATTGTTACTTTATATAGGTAGGAGTTATTGCCCTTTGCTTCATAATTGATTCATTATTTAAAAAGTTACTTTTTTTGATAAATTGTGTATTTTTGTCATACCTATTGAAAAACAACACTACAAAATATATTTCGGGCACAGTTTAATAAATAAAATATTTAGCAAAAATGTGTAACATTACATGAGGATAAAAAACTTTAAATAATTGAAATGTTTAATTTATTCTTATTTTTGATCAATCAATACATGATATATGTTTGATAATTTTCACCCCATTATAATTTTCTGCTCTAAATATTCCTTCAGCTTCTCAGAAGAATGCTGCTGTGAAAAACTTTGCTCATGTGGATCTGCTTCCAAACAAGATCTCACCAAAGGGTATGTGCCTGCAGATTGACAATGCTCTCACTTATATCAATAATACTGATTCATTTAATTCTAACACTTTAGAAGACTCTGTGCACAAATGTTAGGTCTTCCAGGGCTCAATATTAAAGTTTGTCCGATTGTGCATGTCCAGTCCATTTTGCGATCTGACACGTCAACGTCAATGATAAAACAGGGCAAGTAAACTTATTTTGTAGTTTGAATAAATCCTCACAGAATTCATAACAATCTTAAGCAGGCACGTAGTTTTAGGAGGGAGGGGGGTGCAAATTACTATTGAAAATGTTCGTTGAAAGGCAGGCCCCCCCCTTTGTTGTAGCATAATTAAATCATGGTAATTTGGTAACGTATTGATAAAATTTGGTTGTGAAAGAAAATGGAAATGGAACTCCCCACCCCTTGGAATAAGATTTTTTTCATTTTCTTTTTTTTTTTTTTTTTTTTTTTTTTTTTGGCTTGTCAGCATTTTTCCAGATAAGTTGTCAAAATTTTTCTGCCCCCACCCTCCTTTCAAAAACAATACTACGTGCCTCTCCGAATAACTGGACATATAATTGTATAACTTGTCCAATGGACAAGTAGATTCTTGGTTAATGTTGAGCCCTGTCTTTAGATTGATACCTACATGTAGATCGCTGTTCTTAAATCATATGCATTAATTTATATACGATAACAATAAATTGAAACCGACTTAAATCAGAATTTAAAATTAGTAGCAATTTTATTTTAAAATAATTTTGAAGATAATAAATCGCAAAAAGTTTTTGTTACTAGAATATTATACAGAATTGCAAATTTTTTAACATGTTTTCTTAAATAAAAGAAAACAAGATATTCAAAATCTAAATTTTGTCAAGTTTTTTTCTAATCAAGTTTTTGGTCTTGAAGCCTGGTTGTTTACATGTAACTTCCAAATTTTACAGACATCACTCATTATAAACTTTTACACATGTCTAAAATAAAATGCATTTTTTTTTTCCATTTTTGATTGTTTAACAATGCGAGATGTTTAAGTCTTCTTTCCTTTCTCAGTCTTACAGAAAATCATGGAGTCCAACAAGTCTCCACGTGGTATGTACAAGATTGAACACAGAATGAGTCTGTAGAAACATTCCTTATACATTGTAAAACTATTATTTATATCTCATAAAGAACTGATACATATTGATGTAAGGTAATTTGAACTAATTTCCAAATACAGTTGAAATAGTTATATGCAAATCAAAAAACACATTCTACAATTCTATTTAATAAACAGCACTGCAGAAAGAGCTTGATGCCATTGGAGGTTTTGATGTCAAAGTACCTCTCAGAACATGCAAGTCTGCCACTCTTCCAAATGTAGACAGACCAGTTTTTCCTAGACCAAATACCTCTTATCACCCAATTGCTATTATGGAAGTATTTCCAAAGAAACAACCTCCTGAAGGTTATTTATATTTTCTATGCTATTAATCAAGTTTAATATATAGAATTATTAATTTTTTTTATCATGCTTAATTATTACAGTAAAATGACAACATGATCTTAAGTTCCTCCTATAATTGTGGCATAAATTATCATCTGGACAAATATTCGATTTCGCATATGAGTTACAAATTAATATTTTTAGAATTCATGAAAGTAAAAGGAGCATTTCCTGTCCTGCCTCCAATATCTAAAAAGTGTGCAACCCCAGTCTTGGACGAAAAAGCCAAATGCACCATGACTCCGGAAGGTAAATTTACGTTGCACAAAAATTCCTTTCCAAGTGTTTGTTAATGAATAATGACTTAATTAATGCTTTGTTAGTCTTTTGGACTCAAAATAAATGAACTGCTTCATTTTAGTTCCTGATGTGAGAAGAGAATTGTCTGTTGTTCCTCCAATACGTTTAAACACATCTAAAGACAAAACTCCAGGAACAGATAAAACACCTCCAGATACGCCTTTGTCTGACGGTACTCTTACAAGTTAATTATTTCCGATTGTCATTTTTTATCATTCTTATCAAGTATTTCTAGTTTAATATTGTTCTCTTTGAATTATTTACATTGTTGATGAGTGTTAAATGATTCTGTCTTTCCAGCAACAAGACAGCAGATTGCAAACCTAAAAGATAATGATGTGTTTAAAGTTGTTCTGCCACCCCGCTCTTCTCGATGCAATACTGGATGTTTAGAGGCTCCTACCAGTCCAATTCATTCTCAAAATGGTAATACAAAAACAATTTATTTATATTTTTAAATCAGTTTATAATAACTTCTTGGTTTAAAACATACTATATTGCATCTACATAAAAGGTAAAGATCATCACATTTTTATCAGTTACTTCTGAATTGGTAATATATATCTTAGTCTCTATAAAACCTTATAGTTATACATGTTTAGTTTCAGAGAAACAGAAATTCAGAATGTGTGAAGTACTTCCTGCACAAACACAATTGTCTATGGACAGCCTTTCTATGGACTATGCAGTAAAACAACTAGTACAAGCTGATATTCAAGAGAAGTTGGATAGCTTGGATATTGCCTCAATAACAGTTCCATTCAAACCTTTTGAAGGAAACAACCAGTTCCTTGATGCACAAGAAAGAAACAAGGCTGTAGTCACACCTAACATGTACGAAGACTACCTGGAAAGCCTGACAGCAGAAGATGTCAGATTTATTCACTCGAGAAACCAAGATGACTTCTTGTATCTGCACTTTCAGCAAGATTTCACAGATGAAACATTGCAATCACCTAGGTATTTCCCTCACACATTTCTTTCCCCAGTTGAAGAGGTTGATAGAGAATCTTCTTCCTCAGCTGTGTATCCCATCCGAACATTCCTGTCCCCAGTTCAGGAGGTTGATGGAGAGTCTTGCTTATCAGCTAATGAGATTGTTGATGTGAAAGCTGTTGAGGAGCAGACAGGAGGAACGCCAGTTAAAAGTTTTCATCAACAGAAGACATCTCTAAAGAAGAAAGGTAATAGTCTCCATATATGAAGAAAACTATATGTATTTAAAATAAGTGTTCTTCTAAAGTATAGGGACAATATAAGAGTTTTCTTTTGGAAAAAAACAATTACCAATACCGTCAATAAAATAAAATGTACATATATTTTCAGTAAGTTTTACATTTATATGTATGTAGCTAAGTATATGTATGCCTTTTTAAAATTGTATTTTTTAAATCATTAGATGGTACTGTGCAAGAAAACAAACAGAGGAAGACACAGAAAGTTCCAGGTACAAATGAAATGTAAGTAATACTCTTATTCAACTTATAAGTTCTTAGCTTTTATATATTTAAAATATGAACAGTAAACAATAATAAATCATTTTTATTGTACTATTCTCCATTCACTGAAAGTAAGACATAGAGAAATTAATTTATTGTAACAAAGGAACATTCATGAAATAAAAACAACGTGTACATATACAAAATTGTGGGATGAGTTTGTAATTCCAATCTCCTGTGGTGAGGTGGTTAGAGCAATAGTTCTACAGTGAAGAGCAAGGTTTGAATCCCACTGTGGGACATGGAGACTGCATGGTCTTTCGGATAGACCATATAAACTATAAGGCCATGTAACAGTCGATGCTGGCACAAAAAAGATCATTCAATGGCCATAAATGTCTAAATTTGTACCCTTGCAAATGGTTGCGTCAAAAAAGAGGGAAAAAGTCTTGGGATTTGAAGCAAACAACCAATCAACCAATGTAATATACCTTATCTAACCCAACCACCTAACAAGCCTGTATGAGGCAATACATTTTACAAGACCGAAGGAAAGTTATTCTTTTGCCTTTTTTTATTACCAGATTCTTAGAGAGGCTTCAGTCTTTAGGTGCCAAATCAAATCTGGAGGAAATGAAACTCACAAATCGTCTAGCAGTAAAAAAGTCAGAGCTGGCAAACATGCAAAAACAAGCAGAAACGGCAAAGGAGCAGATCTGCCAAAGACAGAAAGAGCTGAATGAGGTTAGGGTCACCAATAGACTGTTGATAGAGAAGCAGCAAAAGCTTCGAAAGGAATTAGAAATGGCAGAAAGGGAACTGAAGAAGGGTAAATCCAAAGACAAACAGCTAAGTAATGAAGTGAAAAGAATGTCTATTGACCATGAAAAGCTGGTATTCCAAGAGGATCTCATAATCCAAGAAAGCCAGCAAATTGAGAGAAAATTAAAGGAGATGAAATCAATAAGCAAGAAACCCAAGCATTTTAGATAAGTTCTTCCACCCAACAGGAATCTTGATTTTTTTTTTTTTTTTTTTTTTTTTTTTTTTTTTTTTTTTTTTTTTTGTTGGTTTTATAAAGTATTTCACATTTTTTGTCACATGGTATTTTTTGTTTTATTTGCTTATTTATTAGTATTTGCCATAACTGATTAGTACAATTTCTAAACTGTAGAAAAATGGCAGACTTAACTAAATTTAAACAGTTGCTATGTGCATGTAAACCTTTTTATTTGAAACTCATTACCACTATTTGCGATAGAAATTTCATTTAAAAAGAATTATTACTGCTTATTTGAAACTGTAAAACTGAAGCGAAAATGTATTTTAAGAATATAAGGTCTATTTAAAAAAAAACAACCTTAAATCCAGTTCGATTTTTGTTGGACTCATGGCTTGTATTTAGTTTGTAAGGTTATAAAAAAAACTATTTTCATCTCAACAAAAGCAAATCCAGTGTTATATGCATAGTTATTTTTAAACAAGTTCTTTTTGTCATCATTACAGCTAAACCTTAAGATAAACATGTATTTGAAATTTTTTAATATTTTAACTTTCAAGACAGTATGAATATTTGAATGAATGGGTGTTTGAATGTATGTGACAGCATGGTTGTTTGAATGGTTGGATGTTTGAGTGTATACATGTCAGCATCTCAGGGGATGGATCGTTCGTAGAATGTATGACACCTGAATGCATGTTTGCTTGAATGTATATTTGATTATAGTTATGACATCATGAAAGATTGAGTTTATGGATGATTAATTGCATGATAGATTGAGTTTATGGATAATTAATTTCATGATAGATTGAGTTTATGATTAATTGCATAATAGATTGAGTTTATGGATGATTAATTGCATAATAGATTGAGTTTATGGATGATTAATTGCATGATAGATTGAGTTTATGAATGTTTAATTGTATGTATGACAGCATGACTGTTTGAGAGGATGGATGTTTGATTGTTTGTATGACGGTATAATTGTTTGAGAGGATAGATGTTTGATTGTATGTATGGCAGTATAATTGTTTAAGAGGATGAACGTTTGATTGTATGTATGGCAGTATGATTGTTGAGAGGATGGATGTTTGATTGTATTTATGACAGTATAGTTGTTTGAGAGGATGGATGTTTGATTGTATGTATGACAGCATGATTGTTTGAGAGGGTGGATGTTTGATGGTATGTATGACAGTATGATTGTTTGAGAGGATGGATGTTAAGTTTGATTGTATATATGATTGTATGATTGTTTAAGAGGATACATGTTTGATTGTACGCATGACAGCATGATTGATTGTATGTTTGAGAGTATGGTTGTTTGGGAGGATGGATATTTGATTGTTAGTTTAACAGCATGATTGATTGAGTTTGTATGGGTGTTTGATTGTATGCATGACAGTATGATTGTTTGAGAGGATAGATGATTCATTGTATGCATGGCAGTATGGGTGTTTAAGAGGATATATGATTGGCTGTTATTATGACAGCAAGAATGTTTGAGAGGATGGATGTTTGATTGTATGTATGATATCACGAATGATTGAGTTTATGGATGATTGATTGTATATATGACAGTATGGTTCTTTAAAAGGATAGTGTATAACAGCATGGTTGTTTGAGAGGATGGATGTGTGATTGTATGTATGTTTTTTTGGAGAGATTTACTAATTAATGGCAAGTGATTATAATATTTTAGATATATTTTTTATGATTGTATAATGTTTAAGATATTTTTATGACTGATATAATTATTTTCCGGATGATCTAAACATTATTTTGAATGAATGATAATGGAGGGTTGGTGGTTTGTGTTGTGTTTACTATCCTTTTTTGGTAAAGGTGTTTCATAGTTGGATGAAACAGCTTTGCCAAGAAAATAGTGGTTCCCTCTGTTGAGTTTTCTCTAGCCACAGATCTTCTTGCAATGCAGAAGATGTGTGGCTAGAGAAAACTCACCAAAGGAATTTTCTTTCATTAAAAATCTTCCATTCATTAACTTTTTCATGACAGAGAGAGTTTGTGGATGGTCTTTTTCTAATAAAAGAAGATTTCCCTATTTCTTGTGAAGTTTCTTCCAAATACTAATCTTCTGACTAACAAGTGCATAAGGTTTGTGTGTGGATTTTTCTTCACAATAAAGGATGGATTTTTTTGGTTTAAGATGCTTCTTTTGCATGCTTTTTTGTAGGACATGCAATGAAGGAGAATCTTAGACCAAAGAGAAAACACAACACTTAATTCACATTTCATGTCATCTTCTTCTAGCTGTTGATGCCTCAGTATATCCCATGATGACAAAGGGATACACTAAAGCATCAACTTTGGAAGGATGACAATGAAGATGATGTGAAATGCTTGTATGGATGGAAGAATGAATAACAACCTCAGTACTGTCTTTCACTATTGAACAATTTTCAATTGTCAATGAACACATGACTAATTACAAATAGTCATGTACTCACTGACATTTGAAAATTGTTTAATAGTGAAAGACAGTATAATGTAAGAATGTTTGTAAATGTGAGAAAGAAAAGTGTTTATACTGCAAGAATGTCAGTGAGTGGAATGTGTATAAAGAATGTATCCAATGATGAATGAGAGAACATATTTGTGAGGAAGAGTACCTGAACAAATTGGTAAAGATGAATGAGTTGTGCATGTTGTAGCAAATGAGTGAAATTTGTGTAATGATGAAATGGATGAAAATGTAATGATGCATGTTTGTAATGATAAATAAATGAAAATATAATGCTGAATATGTGAGAATAATAAAAAAAAAAATGAGTGTGTATGTTTGTGGTGGTGTAAGAATAACTGTTTTAAATGAAGAATGAATGAGTATACTTTTTTGATGAATTAGTGAGCATGTGTGTAATATTTATAATGATGAATGGGTAAGCATGTTTGGAATGTTCTGGATAAAGAATGAGAGAGTTTATTTGTAATGATGAATGAGTGAGGATTCTTTTGTTGTGAATGGGTGAGCATGTTTGTAGTAATTTAGATGATGAATGTGTGAGCATGAATTAAATGATAAATGAGTAAACATGTTTGTAATCATGAATGAGTAAGCATATTTGTAATAAATGAGTAAAAATGTTTGAATGAGGAGAGCTTGAGCATGTTTGTGATAATGATTCAGTGTGTTTGTTTGTGATAATAAATTGATAGGAATATCTGTATTGATGAATGAGTGAGTACATTTGTGATAATGATGCTTGTGGTAATGAAAGACTAATTATGTTTGTGATGATAAATGATGGGCATGTTTGTGATAATGAATGAGTGAGCATGTTTGTGATAATGAATGAGTGAGCATGTTTGTGATTATGAATGAGTGAGCATGTTTGTGACAATAAATGAATAGGAATGTTTGTAATGATTATTGATTGAGTATATTGGAGATGTCTGTGATAATGAAAGAGAGAACTTTGTGATAATGAATGAGTGAGCATATTTGAGACGATGAAGTGAGTGAAGAATATATGTAATGATGAATCAGAGAGTACATTTGTGATTGTGAATGAAAGAACGTGTGATGAGAAATGAGTATGTTTGTAGTGATGAATGGGTGCATTCATGATGAAGACGGTCTTGATGCTAAAAGAGAGAGCATGTTCATAAGATGATGATTGAGTTAACATGTTTGTGATGATCGCTGAGTGAGCATTGCTTTGATAAGAATGTATGTGATAAGGAATGAGTGAGCACGTTTGTAATAATAGAGTTAGAATGCTAGGATAATGAATGAGTGAGCATATATGTAAATGGAATAGCTATGCATGTTTGTGATGATAAATGAATGATAATGTATGTGAAAATGTACCTACGTGTGTTAAAATTACTATAGTTTTTACAAACATTTTATTCAACCATTTTTTTTCACAAGTATTTGCTATTTAAACTTTGCTAAACATACAGTACGTTTTACGTTAGATATATAATCTATCCTGGCTAACATTTTACAAGTCATGGGTCATTTAGCTTATTAAAAAAATTTTTTATATGTGTTTACGCATTTAAAATTCCAGACTTATTCAAGAATATTAGGTTAAATATTTTTAGCTTTACTTCTGATGTTTCATATTTGTTTTAAAGGAAATTATATTTCTGTTCATTGCAGTTGATTTCACTGGTTTTGCTAAAATTCATTTCGTTACTGTAATTCAAAGATATTTATCTACTCTATCTTAAAACATAAAGATATATATGTGTTTGAAATTTAGAAAAATCTTTTATTTTTTATGTAAAGTTTAGAATTTAACAGACGTCTTCTAATTCTTCCATACAACACTTCAAGTCATCTTGTCATCAATCTACAAGCATTTTGTTTTCTTTAATGGTTATTTCTGTTCATTTCCTTTTTAATATATTCGATCAGTGCATATTATCTATTCAAGATATATTACTAAAGTCAGGTACTCTTCACACAATTGCTCCGAAGAAAATAGTTCCATTCATGATCAGTAGATACAACATTACAACAAATGTTAAGAATAATGATGTATATTTAATTCGTTAAAGAAAACAAAATTAACGTAAAAAGATTTTAAGAAAATCACTTTTCCCCAGAAAATGAAATAAAAAGTTTTCATATTCCTACGCTCTCTGCCTCCTCAGTCTTTTTCACGAAAATATATAGGTCATCCTTCGATTGATAGTGATAAATCTTTTCACCAATTATATACCTGTCATGATTATTGTTCGTTAATTGCCGTATATTTTCTTTTGAGTGAGAATGTTAATCATTAACTGTGTGTGTTTTTTTCTCTCTTTTTTTTAAATAACGGAATGGATATTATTGTTAAACACCTGCAATCGTAACTTCTCGGCAAAGCAACGTGATTTGCCGAGCTCGTCGGAAAGGATCTTCGCACGTGTGTAAACCTAGTCTATTTGGTCTTGCAAGCACCGTTCGCTAGCGACGCTTAGATCATGTAGAATGGGTATCAGTATTTGCTACGGACATGAGGAAGAACTATACACCAGTTTCATAACAAGTGCAGGTTTTTTTACTCAAGCCCTAGACTGGGCTAGAGGTTCTGAGTTATCTAAAACAATGCTAGGTCATTGATCTACTCAGTTTATAAACACGAAAATATACTATTTTTGTAAATAAAAAGATTTCTAGAAACAAAAATGTAGTTTATCTTCAAAACGTCTCTATATTCAAAGTCTATATAAAGTGTTAAATGTCGGATTTTATTCTATGACGAAGGAATGTTCAGTGACGCTCCACAGCCTCAACCGATCTCGCGCTTTACTTTGCGTTTAACAACGGCCGTCAATGCATCTCTAGACGAGTCCATTGATTACTCTTGTTGACCCATCTTTAACATCTGCCTATACTTTGAGTGATAGTACTTTAATAGCACAAAATTAAAAAATAAATTAAAATCTATCCTTGATAGTTCTATAGTTTTGCTATTTAAAAAATTGGGCTATCTTTGATCTTTGCTTGGACTTGTTTCGAATTTTTACAGAAGATTCTATCATTGGAAAGTTAGATGGTACACATGTAGCACAGGCCCATAGTACGCGGGATTTTTTCGGAGCCCCCCCCCCCCTTTCACTTTGAAAACGTTGCTACAGGCCTGTAACATGCTATCTGGATTAAAATATTCCTGAAAATGAGTGAGCTGTTAAATACATCTTTAAAATTATACGGTTAATTATATTTAGTCTATGTTCTATGGGAAATTAAAACTATTTTTTAGGCATCTGCAACGTTGTGATAATAAGTCACTACACGCATGTAACGTTATATATGTACATGCAGTTTCCTTAACACATGCATATTTTAATCAACAAAAGATGTTGAAACTCAGTAGCTTAAATATTATGTCATTTTAGGATATTTATGGCCATTGTATAGTTGACATTCTACAGCTTGAGTATCTCTGACCTTTTATCAGTAAATATTTTTTTTTAATTAGAAATCATCTGAGCATAATGAAAATTCGAATAAATTAAAAGTCGAATATCTTGGATATGGGGTAACCCATATATCTGTTCTTGTTATACTACGGGTGTTATACAATGCATAAACTATTATATTATCATCATAAAACTAGTTTGGTCATTTTTGGGGATTATTTTTGTATGAATGTAAACAAATTATTGTGTGATGTATTTTGTCGATATTTGAAATAATATTTTATAGTTTGAATTTTAATACTAAATAAAGATTTTGATAGAATATAACAAAATTGCTACTGTTATTATTTCAAAATTTGTGTACTGCAAAAGATGACAAAGCATGGATATGCCATGTACCCTTTCTTCACAGAGAAAAATATTGCTCTGTCATCATGATACCAGGAACCTGAAAAATACCAAAGAAAAACAATAATGGATGTCTTTTTTTCACTTAAGCATCTAATTTTTTTTTTTACCTGTGAAGTGTTAAAAATACTTTTCATACCTTCTAGAGTACTTTTAAACTCAGTTGTGTTTGGAACAACGATATCGTCAGACATCTGCACAGGTGTACTAGGTGCAATGTTTTAATATGTTCCCTGATCTTATCCATATAAGGAAGCCATTCTGGTCTTCGTGTCCCTAAGAAGAACAATGTTCCATTATACGGATGTAACTTGATAGAAATATCACAATGGAAACCTCGTTCTGCAAAATACAAAGATCATCTCATGGGCCATTGTTTCTGGAGAGGAGGCAGTCATCCAATGCATTCCACATAACGTATATCATTTTTAAAAATCTCATGACTCCGTAACTGTCAAAAATATAAGTAAACAGTTAAACATGAGATTATATTGAGGAGCTGAATTTTATGTGTGGGTTGTTCTGATTTCATGTTTCATGATTCATTCTTTGACATATAAGATGTCTGCGGTGAAAACACCATCTCTCATTCATCCAGGTGTTCACATCAAAGAAAGTCATGAACGTATGTGCTCTTTCCATTTCAATTTTTCTGTTTATTTTATGGAAAGTAGGAGTTTGTTTTTCAAACCCTCTACAAGGTAAGGAAATCATACACGTACTGCAAATTTATCAACAGAAAGTTAACAAAAGTTTTTTGGGGGAAGGGGGGGGTGTCTTGATTACTCTGCCTTTACTGAGTGTTCGCTTTTTACATGTTTGATAAAACTTCGTTTACAATATGGCTCATGACCTATCTAGGCAGAAGATGAGCCATGGTTTTTATGTACATGTACGAAGATCGTCCCAGAAAAACGCAAAGTTTTTGAATATTTCATAAACTACCTGACCAAAATTATTCATTTTTTTATAGTGTTTGTAAATGGAATTTTCGCCATTTTGACAAAATATTGTAAGGTTGTAATGTCATTTGCATGTGGAAGCGGCAATATTAAGAGTGTTTGATATCGGTGGTCGGCGCAACTCAAATTTTTGACTTTTAAAAATAACATTGCCATTCTTTTCTTTAAGACGAAGCTATGCGGAAATATCGGTGACAAAATTTATATCCCTAAAATCTTTATGACCTGGAGTACTAATTCAATAATTTTGGCACCATAAATGACAAAAATATGGTGTGATATGCATAAACATTTTTCGTTTGATATTTTCAAAAATGGCGACGTCGGGCGATAAAGCGGCCCACCAAATTATCATTCAGTACTGCATCCTGTAGATACAGGAAAGAGATGGAAACAAACACATGTCTCGGACACTGTTTCATATCCGGCAAAAGAGGTTCAATGATAGCTGGACTGATTACCTGGTGGAAAAGTGTTTGGAAGATCAACAAAAATGATGACAATTAAACTGAAAAGTCAGGAGCTGGACGTCAAAAAGGGGACCACCGTTTAACTGTGCGAGCAGTTAGGCCTATGATCAGGGTTGGGAAATTGTTTATTTAAAGAATAAATTCTCTTGGTAGTTCTAGTCTGTGTGAGAAGGATAAATCGGTGAGAAAAATGTTAGTTATAGATATATATTTTTTTTTAAATTTCGAAGTAGGATTAAACAATGTTGATTATGTTGCATGCTAATTTTTAATTTTATAGTATTAAAGAAGCAAAATATATTCAAAATGTTCGCGTTTTTCTGGGACAACCCTCGTACAATACAGAACATATATAACTGCTTTCTTTCGAAGGCTCAATAACATTGACCCGTTGTCGTACAATAGCAATTCTGCCACTTACATATCTAAAACTAGAATCTTTGTTTATTTGTATACATGTTTTCTTATTATCATCTACTAGTATTTCAGAACAATATTAAATCATGCATTCCTTTCTAATGCTGTTAAATTCTCATTGAAGATATTACCTGTCCAAGCGATATCCCAAATGGAGTTCTTGAAATAAACTGCACAGGACACGTCGGTTCCTATTGTGAAGTCATCTGTAAGGATGGTTTCCGACTGCACGACGATGTTCTGGGGATATACTGCAATAGAGACGGGAGATGGTCAGTCATAGAAACAAAAATATGTCAGAGAATTCAAGGTACACTTCCTCTGATACATTTATTATCTTGCATTTTAATTAAATTACCTTTTTACTTTATAAAAACAAGATAATTTTAAATGTGTTTAGGGTTGATTCAATACTTTAGATTATTAAAGATGCATAATTCATTGCATACGTACAACAGAAACCGTCCTGGAGAAATCATCACTGAATACAGAGGCTGTTCTGGGCGGAGCTGCTACAGGATTCCTCAGCGTCTTCCTTGTGTACATTGTTGTTATGATGGTCAAACAAAAAATAAAGTAAATATCAGATTAATATCGTAAATAAATTATTTTGCGTTTCTAAACAAAAAATTACAACATCCAAAAAGTAAATATTGTGTTAGAGTAGAACATTTGGTAGAATTAGTGAAGTCGCAAGATAGTTTAAAATAGTCAGATTTGAACTAAAAAATAACACTTTTTTTAAAAGAAGGAAATGCTCATTTCTTATCATATGACTAAAAATGTTACTTTTAAAAGTATATTATATGGGGTTTTACAATGTTTTTAAGGAAGTTGAACGATAGTGATGACTTCTCTCTACAAAGACGACCGGGTGAAGAAAGCGCACGGCGGAACGACTACTTAGAAACTGTGAGCTTTATATCGCCCACCTCTGAGCAGTCTACTCGTGTAAACGAAGTGGGACTTGACAGAACAGAGGCAAAAACAAAGGACGAATTGAAGAAACCAGGAAGAAATGTTCCCTGTAGCCACGAAAAGAAAAAGAAGCATCATCTTTATCACAACGTGTTTAAGAAAGGAGCGTATGAAAACGTATAAAAATAACGAATTCTCTGTGTTATTTTAATAAATAAACCATTGGTGTTTGTACATGTATTTCTTTTCGTCTTAATTTAAAATAAAGCATACTTGATAAAGTGAATACATGTATACATGTACACGAGAAAAGATGAATTTTGAAGTACATGTATTTTAAAATGCTAAAATCAGATAGATATCTTTCATTGTATATGGTAATAGTTGGTTTAACATGAGTACGTTGCTGGCATATACACACTTGTATTTGAAGTCTTTGCGTGATGGAAAAGATATTTAATAGAAAGGAAAGACAATTATAGTAAAACTAACTCCAATATTCAATAATGAAATTGAAAGCAGAATAAGCAGCTTCTAGCTCTTTTAAAACTTTTCAAAATTTCTAATTTTCATAAATTTAATCTTAATTTTGTTTCCACGGCAATGGCAACCATAATACTCATTATACTATGCAAAATGAAATACCCATAGAGGTAAAAATTACCCCCCCCCCTCCCCGCTCTTTGTGCCATAGTGTTCCATCATCCGATTCGGTTTTTTTCTTTCAGAAATGTAAAAAAAAAATACTCTTTTAATACTTCAAGAAAAAACAGCTGGGCAGTTAAAGGGGAAAAGGCAGCTTTAAAATTTTAAAGTTTCCTCTGTTTACGTGGCAATCATCGCTGCTATGAATATTTTAAATGTTTAGCTCACAGCTAGACTAGTTGTCCTTCTGAATTTGTTTGGGGCAACATATTAATGTGTAAAAGTGGATTACAAGTCGTCTGACTCAAACTTTGGCAATAGCTATATTAAAATAATTAAATAACTGCATACGAGTTTAAATTATGGGCATTAAGTGCATAATAATATCTAGGGGGGATCTTTTCATGCATCAGTTATATTCGAAAACTCTGTTGAAAGAAATCGAAGTTCATTTGGACGTAATAGTTGCTAGCAAAAATGATGTGATGCATAGAGTTAAATGCTGGATGTAAAACTACAGAACAAATATTTTTCCTTGTTGAGTTCTGTATTGAGCATCATATGCTGGTCTTATGTGGGCCAATTCAGACTCGAAAGCATACAGCTTGAATCTGCAAAAATGGTTAGGGGGGAGAAAATAATAATTATATATTTGTTATTGAAAGAAAAAGAATGATTAGCTATCAAAAAAGGAAAAAGATTACAAAATTATCATGAAATTCACCTGATTACTTAAAAATTACAAAATTATCAAGAAGTTCACCTGATTACTTGTTGTATATTACTTCAGGGTATGGTTTATCATAGGTATACGGTGAAAAATTCTTGAATAGGATGTAAAACAACATAAATCAATCATAGCCATCATTAAAACACTATGCAAAACAATTAATTCCAAGAAATGCAAAATAGTGGTGAACTTTGCTATCAATCCTAGAACTGAATCCTTGTTATCGACCTTCAAATCATACTTAAATATGAATCTAACTTTGTAAGAGGGTGAGGTAGGATTGCCAAATTCTGCATACAAATCTCACTCATGCAAATGTAGTTCTCTGAATTCACTTATCTCTCTGAATTAACTTATCTTCCGTAGAAATATGTATAACTCATCTATGTCCCCCGCTTTCGCTGAAAGTGGGGGATATTAAATTGGGTCTATCTGTCCGTCCGTCCGTCTGTATTTCTGTTTGTAACACTCTCGTTTCCGCGCGATATCTCGAGAACACTTTGAGCTTTCGCAATGAAATTTTGCATAGCAACTCCCTGTGTTCTAAAGAAGAACCCTATTGATTTTGAGGTCAAAAAGTCAAAGGTCAAGGTCATAAATTTTGTCTTTTTAACACTTTCGTTTCATAAGTTTTAAAATCATAAGTTTTAAATGTTGCAAAAATTCATTCTCGGTTTCCTTACTAATACTTTGTAGTCCAATTATGTCTTTTTCTAACAAAAATACTTCAAGGTCGTTTATGTACATAGAAAATAAAAAAGGTGACAGATTTTCTCCTTGTTTTACCCCGACATTACATTCGAAAAATCCCGAGGACATACCATTTTGTTTCACTAAAGATTTAATTCCCATGTACATATTTCTTATGTAACTAAAACATTTTCCATTTATTCCATTTTTTGAATAGCTTATTCTCCATACAATGTCAAATGCTGCTTAAAATCAATGAATGCACAAAAAAGTGTCTTTTTTCTTTTCATGAGAATATCAGATAAAAATTGCAAAGTCAAAATATGGTCTAGTGCTGAGAAATTTTTCCTAAATCCTGTTTGATTATTATTTAGAGGGTCAACCTCGTTTGCATAAACTTCAAGTCTATTTGCCAATATGCGGGTAAAAAGCTTGCTTAGACAGCTTAACAAAGATATGTGACGGTAATTTTCAGGCTGGGTTGGGTCGCCCTTATTCTCATAAATTGGTCTAACAATACCAATTAACCATTCATCTGGAACATAGCCACTATCAAAAATTATCATTAAAGACCTTCTTATATAAAGGTAAAAAAGTTGACAATGTTGTATGAATATGTTCATTTTCAATGTTTTCATACCCTGCAACTTTACCATTTTAAAGTTTCTGAACAGCCGCTTTTATTTCCTTTTCGCCAATTTCACAATTGATAATACTGTTTTTTAGGTTTTCATTATCATTAACATAATTGGTAATACCTTCATTCATTTCTTTTAAAAATTGGAACATATCATGAATATCAACAGTGCATTTTTTATCTTGACTTGATGCATTTAAAATTCTCCAATAGTCTTTCGGGTTTGTTGAACGCAAGCGGACAAGTTCGTGAGTTAAATTTTTTCTATAACCCTATAACTCCCTATGGCCTTTTTCGCCCCTCTCAAAGTGTCCCGCCCCGTTTTTTTTTTAAATTTATTTATCCAGGGGCATGTGGAGAGTTATTACGTATAATACGGGTTGTCGGCGGACTTTAGAAAAAGAAGAAAAAGAAAATTTCAACATACATATGGACGGGTGAGAAAAGAAAAAAAAATATTTTGTTTTCTGGAGGTAAAAAAAAATTGAGTCGGGCCATTTTAGCCAGTCGGTCGGGAGAAGGTTAACAAACATTTTTTAAAAGATGGCCTTGGCTTGTCTTCAAATCATGCACTGCAGTCATAGAATTTCTAACATGTTTTCTACCTCCTTCCCCAGTCCTTTTCATAATTTAAGGAGGAATGCCACACCAAAATTTTATTTAATAGATCTTTAAGACATCCCTTTTAAACTATGGTTGCAGCATTGAAAGACTGATATTAGCTCTCAATTATTTAATACGATTTTTCGGGTATTTTTTCTGAGATAATGAAAAAAAAAAGTTTTATTTGCAAAGATGCTTATTAAAAAAAATCAGATTTGTTGTAAATCGGGAAACGCTTTCACTCATGTACACAACCTTTCTTACACCCCACCTAGAATATGCTTCCTTGGTGTGGGGTGGATGTAATGTAGGTAATAGCAAAAAATTAGCTCTTAACTCTATTAGCTCTAAAGATGCACTATACTTTGAATCTGGATGGGAACTATTACATGAAAGAAGAAAAAAATACTAGATTATCTACAATAACGAAGTTCCTGAATATCTAACTGATATAATCCCAAATTTGCTTTGTAATTCATCAAGTTACAGTACGAGAAATCCATATAACTATAACATACCTAAATGCAGATTGCAAACACATAAGTCAGCTGTCATCCCCCTTGTTATTGACGAATTGAACTCAGTACCTCTTATTGTAAGAAATTCTTCCTCATTGTCTATCTTTAAAAAGTCCATTTCTTACAATAAACCTATGCCACCCTCTTATTTCAGTTTCGGGATTGATGTAATGTGATTTTGAGTCCCCTATGTTCTGGTTGGGATCAGTTCAAATTTCGATCGGGATTGGCCAAAATTTAAAAAAATTAATTTTTCTAAAATTTGGCATTTTCATTTTAATTTCTTTTTAAAATATGATTGTCTAGCAGCATATTCATTGTAGCTGTGACTTGTTTTTTGAATATATTATCCATAGGTTTCGAAAATATTCGCAAATGCTGTGTTTTATTTTCATAGATATTTTTTAAGTAAAAAAATTAAAATGTCCAGCTTGCTTTTGTTCAGATATTTTATTAGATATTCATTTTCTGCATTTATGAATAGCAAATTTTTAACTTTAAAACGTCTTATTTGCAAATAAAATCTTTTTTTTCTTTCATTTTCTATGAAACATTTGGGAAAAAATCTTATAAAATAATTGAGAGCTAATATCGGCCTTTTAATGCAGAAACCATAGTTTAAAGGGGATGTCTTAAAGATCTATGAAAAAAAATTGGTGTGGCATTCCTTCTTAAATTCTTCCTTCAGACTTAGAATTAAATGCCTACTTCAAGTGTTTTACAATTTATACACTTTATCTCTATAATGTTATGTACAGTACATGTAGATTGAGGAGGGTTCCTATGCGCGACAGAGGCAACTTTGGTACAATTTTTTAAGCCCACGATTTGCTTGACTTTTTTTTTTTTTTTTTTGATCGAATGGCTCTATTACTTAAGTGAATGGTTTTAGTTTTCCCAGAAGCTTTGCTAGGGCCTTTAATAAGGTGAACATTTACTCAAATTACGTTGATAGCCCAACGGTTAACCATTTAACACTGTCCATTCAAAACCGTTTAGTGCATGTAGAAATCTATGGTTAGCAGAGTCGAACCATGCAACAAGTAAAGATTATACATAGTTTTATTAAGAGTACGTATTTGAACAAACACCAAACGAACGTTTATATGCACTAAGAAAATATGATATACCGGGTAATCCGTAGAACAACGAGTGAGTCATGATGCAAGTGCATTTTGGTTAACATTGAAAGCAACGACACGAGGTCTGAACAAGATAAAAATTATGAAAATATAAACTGAAAACTTACAAGGGAAAAGGATAGTGAATGTCAAACCCTTATTACATACTAGATCAAATAAAGGATATTTATAGACCTCCTCTCTGCATGTGGATAATTTATGGCATTAGCCGCACATCT